GCACCTCGTGGTGCCGCCTTCATCGGACATTGGTTTGGGTTTCACCCTCCATCGCCTCCAGCTTGCGGTCGCATCTCAAGTACCGCCTACCCCGAGCTCAGCTGGGGCCGACCGCAGCGGCTCCTCGTACTTGGCTCCGAGATACGGGGGCGGGGGGCTAGAGCGGCGAAGCAGCACAACAGTTCGAGACTTGCTGTGCGTCCGATCCAACCGGGCCGCACCGGCACTGCGAGCAACAGCCACTTTCGCAAGGACAAGACGGTGGTGCATGGTATTTTGTGTTGTCCATTCTATATAGCATAGCTGCCAGATGCTGCACAAATCCTTCTGCTGAAACGAATATCCATGCTTTGTAGCACCGTGTGCCAGGAAATGAGCGTCATCAACGTGAGGATACACGTAGACCTTGCCACATGTTTGTCCAACAACCCTTGCAAATGCGCAGGGCTGTCCGGAGGCATTGCCTCACCAGCGGCCCCAAGAAGAACAAACATTTTTATGCAAGAAATGCCCAGCAAGTCGTTGATGTTCCATGGCCCCTGAACCTTCTGGCTGTCTCACAAATAGGTAGAACCGATCGCATGTTTACGAGTATAACGAGCGGCCGTCGATGTCCAGAAGCACCATGCGACACCGTAGTGCACAACCAAATTCAGGGTAAGTGCGTTCCTTGGAACTGCGCGCCTCTGAAAGGGCTGCGCCGCCAAGGGCGCCACTGCGGCGGCGGGCTGCCCATGCCGAAGTGGGGAGACCAAAGTGGTGTCCACCGCGAGTTGGGAGCCACCCCGCAAGGGAAATCCATTAGCAATAAGTTCATTAATTGTGCCGCTCATGATGCCTTGTAGCCCGCAAGTTGAGGTCGCGGACCAGGACGTTCCAGCTGCCAAACCGAGGGCAGGCAGCGACATGATCACCCAACACATCAAGCGGGCGTCGGCAGCGGCATCAAACTGCAGGAGAAGTCGCAGGCGGCGGAGCAGCAACACACAAAAAGGACTCGAGGACGAGCTCGGGAACAGTAGGACGGACAGTGGGAACCCTGGCGGCAAAAGGGCCCGACTGTGAAGAGCTCGGCACGGCCAACGATGTTTCGATTTTCAGCGGAACCTCAGGTTCAGCATAATCTCTGGCAGGCCGTCAGGGGAGGGCAATTTTGGCGACGTTGAGGCGCAGCTGTTTGTGGCGAGCAAGGTGGAACTCAACGCGCCGGACCAGGCATGGCTCGCCGAGGCGATGCGAGGATGGTGGCGTCGTCGAGGTAGGCAAAAATGCGTTCGCCGAGATCCTCGCGGATCTCCCGCTCGTGTGGGGCATCGCGTCCAACGACGTATGAATCAGGACAGGGTCACGCGCACGACGAGCGCAGCATGGCGCAGTGTCAAGCGGCTCAGCCTTGTGACGTCGAGGGATGGCTCGTCTGGTTTGGGTGGGGCCACCCAAACACCACCAGCTGCGCAACCAGACTCTTTTCTTGGTCGCCTGTGCGCATCCTGCAGTGAGCACAGTGCGGGACTTCTGGCCTTCCTATCTGAAACCTTGCATCATGTAAGCTCCGTGCCTTGGAGAAGCTTCGGCAGACAGTCTGCAGCCGTCTCAACATGTAAATGTACACATAAAGTCATACACAGTAAATCTTACTTCTGTGTCGGAAAACACTATGTGGTTCGAAACGCCGATATGTGGACTTAGACACGACCTGGAAGGGGAGGCGCTTCGTCCATGAGAAACAGCTGCTGTTTGACAGTTCCTGTACATATCGTCGTACCCCCGATCAAAAACCTTGTCGCATGTCCAACTTTTTGGTGCTATAAACATAGGGCTTTGCACAAGTGGTGTTCGCTCAAAACCCCATGATGCATGATTCCCTGCAGCTGCTCAGAGGGTGACCATCGTCGGTCCGATTTCTGATGAGCATGTGAAGCTGCTTACAAAACCAAGCGAAACGTCCGCAACGCAAACCCAGAGAGACCAGACTGCGTTTTGTCCGGCTGGATTGAAACACGGACGGACAAGAAGACCCTTTCGACTGTTACCATCGGTTTACTACAGCCTCGTCCTACTAAAAGGGCTAGGCTAATGCAACATGCTTTTGCGGTCACCACTGCACACGCACAGGTCGCCGGGAGCTGGCCGTCGAGATAGCCGGGATCGGGATGCAACGCTTGTGCCGGCACACCATCTCACGACGGAGCCGTATTGCATGTAGTGGAGGGCCGCAAGCAGGCTCCGTATCCCAAGCTCGCAGTGTCTGTCGCAGTTCAGCAAGAAATGACTGGCACGCCGGTTCTAGGATTGCATTTTCCTCGGCGTCGGGAATCTCACAAAAACACGCCACCACATGCACCACCCAATATGAACTCACAGTTACAGTTGTCCGCACTTGGTGTTCAGCAGCGCGATGCGAAGCGGTGGCGCCGTGCTGCGATGCGACTCTCGTCTCCCCGTCCCGGGGGAGCAAGCTCGGAACAAGAGAAGAAGTCGGTCCTCGTAGCTGATTCCCGTGCACCGGCCAGCTTCCTGCATTTATGACCATGTTGACTGTTGAGGACTGCTTAGCATGTCCTGGCCGAATCTATGAAACGTGGCCCTCCAGAACCTGCTACTCACCTACACCGCACCGAGACAGGCCACGAGAAGGCGTGAGTTCGCCGTTTGCCCTAGTCTTTCGTTTACTGCCGCCACCAGGTAATCAAGCCTAGTTCGTACAGAGCACCTCCGCACCAAACAGCCTTGGACCTCGTACTCAATCGTATTAGATGCTGAGCAGGGGCTGAGCCCGGCAAGCTGTCAAAGATCCAAGCTCCTGATAAAAAACGAAACACAAAGGAAAGACCGCGACCACGACCGCGACCGCTTCACCACCACCACCACCACCACCACCACCACAAGCCCAAGCACAACCACAACCACCACCACCAGAACGAAACAAAATTGCACCACACCTACTTTGCCCGACCCGAGCCATCTAGAGGCAGTCTCCACATTTTACTTCCTGCGCCTCCTGCCTCACCTGCACCCGTAACTCCCGTAACCGCACTTTTCCTCACGGCTCTTGGCTCGGGGCGGTCGGTCTGCAGGGTGGCTGCACTTCTCCGACGGAGGACTTCAGATTTCGAGAGTTTAGGGCTCAGGGCTTAGAGTTTAGGTGCCCTACAAGACCTTCATTGGGATTTAGGCTTTAGGGTTTAGTTTAGGGTTTAGGGAGCATGGCCCTTCACTGAGGAATCTGCCGAAACCACGCAACACAACCCCGGCTGGACGTCCAAAGTCCCCGATCAGGCAGCCATTGCTCACTTGAGCAGTGTCCTACTCCTATTTCTCGCTCCAGAGGGCCCCTAAACCCTAAGCCTTTAACCCTACTGGGAGGTTCATGGATAGTTCTAAGTGCGGCTATAAGTCCCTTAATATGGGCTACAACTACAGTTACCCCACTTAGAACCCTACTTACAACTACCCATGAACCTCCAAGTAGAATCGAACCCTAAAGCCCTCATCAGCAGCAACACTAGCAACACCACGTAGACCCGCAAAGCCTTAGAACCCTAAACCCTGTACCTTTAAACCACGACCCTACTTTAGCCCGTTTGCCCTAAAGGTTCCTTCTTATACTATAATGGACCCGGAGACCCTCCTCTACCTCCTCAGGGCCCCGATATCATACAACGTTTATAGTCGCCCTTATCGCAACCCTTCTAGTAACCCTGTAGATCCCTCTCCTCCATCTAAACCACCAGAAAACCCTCTAATCGTAAGCTTTCTGAGACTCCCTGTTAAGAAACCCATTCAAGAAATCCTACTCATTCAGATTTATATGCCCTAAACCCCTAAACCCAATGCTCTATAGATGAAATCACCACTCCGCTGTCTACCCTCGGGGCACTCAGCTCTGCTGGACCTCGCTGGAGGCTCGGCCCAGCTGCACTTCTTAAGGGACAATAGGAGGGACCCCTACAATAGGAGGGACCCCTAGCCCCTGTATAACCCCAAGGCTCGCTTTAAGGGTCTCTCCTTTAGTCTCCTGAACTTCTGTACCCGAAGTAGGCCTTCTGGGCTGGGTAGGCTTCCTGGGGCGTGTGAGAATATAGGGCTAGGGTTGAGGGGTTGAGTTTTGAGCGATCTTTCCTTTCTGGCAGGCCCAGTGTATTAAGCCTCAGGGCTCAAGGTGGGTTATTAGGGCTTTAGGGTTTAGGGTTTAGGGTGTTTTATGGTGTGCTTGACTATAGAGACCCGGTCAGAAGGCTCGCAATTCAAAGCCTGAGGGAGCTCATGGTAGCTTTAGAAGAATACGGGGCCGCAAGAGAAACTCCAACAGCCCCCATGGAGCCGAAAGCCGACTCTCAGATTCACGAAGGTGTCGTCCCTTCTTATCATATCTCAACAGGAATTTTTGTGGGAGCGAGTTTTTGGAGACTCAGGAAGGCGTTCCAAAAGAAGGAATCTAAGCCTTAGCTTGATACCGACGGGGGCCCCACTTTGGAAAGGATCCTAATGCATGAAAGCCCGTGCACACTTTCTAGGGACCATCCGAAGAAGCCCTAAATCCTAAATCCTGCTCACCTTCACCCTAAACTCGAAATCTGGCAGCAGGCGGCCGGTATTCACGGAACCCTCAGCCGACCAAGTTAACCTCCCTTCCGAGCCCCACCCGACATAGATTCTGATGAAAAATTCGTCGGGTGGTGGTGGTGGTGGTAGTAGTAGTAGTAGTAGTAGTACCAGTAGCAGCAGCAGCAGCAGCAGCAGCAGGAGTAGTAGTAGTTGCTGTTGTTGTACAGCCATACAGTGCTACAGCAGCACGACAAATCGCCGTAGCTCAAAGCATTGCCCCTGCAAAGTGGTCTGAGGAGACCAGTGTAGTGTCGAATGTCTTCCTACAGCCCATGCTGCAAGAGTGCATCTCGGGAAGGCCTGACTCTTCAAAAGCTTGAAGAACCCAAATTGGCACCAACACCCAACCTCCAATCAGAGATAAGGCACTTGGCACGCACCCACTTCCCCTCACGCGCTACAGCAGCAATCACCACATTGCAAGCCGTGGTGTCCGGAGGCAACCTGGCCTGGGAGCTACGGATTTGTTTTTCCCACCCGCTTCGCCACGAATGTTAGGGTTCGGGCTTTTGGCGTTTTGGTTTCGGATTCCTCGGGACCCAAACCCAAAACGCTCTTGCGGGCTGCACTGGGTCCAGCCATTGATGGCGACAGCTGATTCGACCGGGACCTTTCTGGAGCCCAACTACATGTGTTGTTACACACGAGACCTCGCGACAATGATGCAGCGCGGCTACAGCTTCGACGTATTGGCAGTTCAGAGTCTTGTGTGAGGTGGCACATTAAGTTTGCGGTAAACTCACTGCACTGGTTGATGATTTCCGCACAACTCGAATCCAATGCTCGACCGCGCATGAGCATAGACAGTGCGAAGGACATACTTGAAGCTGAGTGCAGAGACTCAACCAACTGATGGTAGCATGACATTTCGACTCCCTGTAGTGCCAAATTCTAGCGCTGAGTCTTCAAACTGGTCAAAACCAAAGTCGGCAGTGTGGAGCCATGAGTCTGCTTCCATGGCATGAAGCAGATCCAGAACGATCGGCCACTTTCCCACCTCAGGAGAGTCTTGAATATTGACTTTCGGCAAGAGCCAATGTCTGCACACAGCTTCCAGCTCCGTCTTATTTCGCGCAGAACCCCACAGCAGCACGAGGAATTCCGCCTCTCTGCACGCACTCATCGCCGTGCTGTAGCTCACCTGAAGCAGTTGTTGGTGGATCGCAACTACAGTGTTGGAAGGCCGCATAGAAAAAAAGTGTCACCGGACAGGGGAGGAACTTTCTCGGGTCTTTCTTGGAGGTGAAAGGGTCACCGATTTACATTGCATCTTGTGGGCTTACCGATTATGCCAGGATCACTACACCTTACCACGAGTAGGTCACCTCTAGGAGACGAGGAGACCACCAGGACACGGCCACAATGCTTTCCCCCAAGGACTGGTATAGGCTTCCCGCAATAGCGTGGCGCGATTGAGGACATGCAAAATGCCAGGCCCATACGGTGAATCTAGCCTCGCCGAGACACGTGTCCACTACGATCTTGTGTAAATAACGGGACGTGAGTGCAAACTGTGCACCGCACCACAGCGGAAGCCGCGTCGCGGAACGCTAAATGTTAGAACCCAAAAACTTAGTGGGGACCATCTAAGCCTCGCCGGGAAAAATTTGAAGACTTGGCTTAACCTATCTGCGCCTGGTCGGTACGGAGCCCCGTGTCCAGCATTCTCTGCAGCAGGTTTAGGCAGAGCCGCCACTGCCCGACCGTCACCTGCACAACTGCTCCAAATGATCAGCGTCAAGATTCTCTTCCATCACCCAAGCAATTGTGTCCCTGTGGGAATGGACCTTCTTTGCCGGAAAATGTTTGGGCTAAGTGTAATCGTCCTCTCACAACATTGCAGCACACGTGTGAAGAAGTACCGGGACGAATTCGGTCCGCACACTCTTCCGTTCTGAACTAATCACATAAATGTGCACTATTTTGACTGGTCGCAAGCTGAAAGCTTCAACTCTTACTGTTTGGCCCGCTTTCGACAGTTGCTCTCTATTACTGTCATGCCTCGCTTCAAGTAAACGATAGTTACACGTGTTCTGTTCCCGGCTTCCGAAGATGTTCACCCCTGGGGCCAAGAACCACTGCTTCCGGCAGACAGCTTGGACTTGGACCTTGCAACTGGTCTTGCACGCTCGACGACCTCATTGATGCCTACCGATCGAATTGCCAGCAATTCAGCAGCAATGCAAGTGCCATGAAGGCTACCCCGATTTATTACTTGTTGTATGCAGGCATATTATGTAAACGTAATCAATTCCCATGTACTATCATACAGCTATTTCCTGCTGCATTTTGCGTTGGCAGACAGACATTTAGGAATGCACGAATCTACAGCAGATGCGAGCACGTGCGCATTGAAAGCTGACGGAGCCACGCAGGCGGCCATGGCGGCGTTGAAGCTCACCCCATCCGCACGTAGCTTCCGCTTGGGCATCGACCACCTCGACTTTAGGGCCTTTAGGGTCTCCTGCTTTACACTTTCACCTCAATTTTGCATCGGATCCATCTTGCACGGCTCTCCGATGCAAATGCCTTGGAATCAGCAGTTCGCTTTGCTGCAACCAGGACTGCTTGCATGCAAGAAGCAGTGTGTCAAGGGCGAGCTGCCATTGCGAGCCTGGCTGGAAACTGCCGCGTTTGGAATGGTTTTCCTCACTGGGGTTTGGGATCAAACTTCGGGAGCTGAGTTTGGCAACAAGGCTCAGTGAGATTTTGGAGCCAAACTAAGCCTGAGAGAACAGCGTGGTGGCGTTCTGAGTCTTGCATGGTTGAGGAGGGTGAACAGTGAAGCTCTCGAAGTCTGTAAATCGAGCAAGTCAAGCGATTCTGTCTCAGACCCCCAAGATTTGCCTTCCAACAGGTTGACCTTACCGAGCCCTATTGCCGGTTTGTACGACCACTTCAGTCAACAAGACATCCCAACACCCAGCAATGTTCTTTGAGCAGTTCCTGTGCTGAGAAAGTCTCTTCAGCTGGGGCATGCTGGGGGTTTTTCACCGCTGAAGTTCATGCCGTCCAAAGGTCGCCAAGCTGAACAGCACCGTGGCGAAAATGAAAGTTGGTTTGCATATGGGGAGCAAGGTCCGAAAGGTCACATCCTTCGGTGGTGCGAAGCTCTGCTGACTCTATCCCTGAAGCAGTCCAAACCCTGCCCAACCTCGAGCCTCCAAATCCTTCACGATCTCAATAAACCTCACTAATACTTCCCCCACAACTGTGCAAACTCCCGGACGTAAGCGGCCTTTCTGGAGGGCGCTGATGCAAGAGTTCACAGACACGGTGGTAGGACGCAGCTTGGTGCTGCCGAGGCGCCCTGGCTTCGGACTGGCAAGCCCGCAACAAAGACAAGACACGTCAATGTCTACCCGATTGGCTTCCTGCACTGGCGGTGCAAGGCACTGCGGTGTTATGGGATTAATTGGGATTGGTTAGATACTGCACCGTGCAAGAAGATGCAGGCTACGAAGTAGTCTGGAACGAGTCATGCTCACGGCAGTCGGGGCACGCAATATGTCCAGCGCCAACGCACCATTGGCTGCATGTTCGCAGGCACTGATGGCAATGTTGTAGCCTGGGCGTGCAGTACATTCTGACGAGCTGACCATGAGCTTTTCTTCTTAGTCTTGCTGGGCCCTGAAATCTCAGATAGGCTCGACCTACTCGGTCATGTGCAGCATCCGACACCACCGACGGTTAGAAAGGCTCAATCCTGAACCTTTACATCGATCTTGTGCACAGAGGTGGCCCCGTGGCGACAAATACAGTATAAGCTCCAAAACAGTACCGGGCATGACACAATCTCGCAACCCACACACACACAAGCACACAACTTCTGAGATCCAAAAAATCTGGCATTGAACATGGCGAAACAAAATGCTCCTCAGGCAAGCTGCTAATGGTGCTTGCGGCCACCCTTCTCAACGGCATCGTCTCAAGCAACCTAGCTCCAGGAGTACCATACGTGACCACAGCTCTCCGGAAAGTCCACACTGGCTCTCGACTGCCTGCCTTCAAATGACAGAAAACCGTGCATCACCCACATTCGGCCTTCCTGTTGCATGCATGAATCTGCAACTGGTTTTGGCAGCTTCTTTTCGGGATGTCATGTCTGAACCCAAGCTGCTCGAGTGCCGACGCCCAGTGGCCGCCCGTCCTGGGCTGGTACAGTTGGTGCCCTTCGTGGAAGCCGAATCCATGGGGCCCTCTGGGCAATCGTGCAAGCGGTCTTTTGAAGGACTGCAAAACCAAACCCGACTCCAGCACCCTCACGTCAACCCCGGACCTGGACATGCACCACGTTTGCGGCTCAGACAGGTCACGCATGGCATTGCAATAATCTGTGCAAGGTCCTGCATGGGCAGCTCCGTTTGGCACTCCGACACGACTAGAGCCCCGAACGATTGGGTGTTATCGCCCTGCCGAGTTGCAAAAGGGCCACCATCGCAGTGTTCATCGTAATGACCTCTTAGTGCAGCATGCGACAACCTCCGCACCCAACCCATGCTGGCTACACCGGTATCTTCAAGAATTAGGGCCTAGGGCGTCGAGAAGGTGCATCTCTGCAGCCGCGACTTGGCGTTTGGCATGGTTCACATGTTCAGACTGCTGAGAGGGGTGCGTCTGCTGCCACGAGCATGGCCGGCATGGCCTCCATGAGCAGCCTCAACGTGTTCAGGGCTTGGTGAAACGCAAAGCAGGTGCGAAAAAACCAAAGCCCGAACCAGTGCAGTGAACACAAGGGAGACAGCCAGGTAGCTACGAGTCTTTCAAAAATTGCGATCCAACTCCAACCCCTATGCAGCTTGAGCTTGGTAGCAGCGCTCGCTGCCAACTTCCGCCCTGTAGCATAGCATTCATTGCCTTGCAGCTTGGCTGATCAAAGGCCAACTGCCATCAAAGACATCGGTACACGAAAGCCCCCCCATCATCTGTTGGGACGCAGCCTCCAGACTCTACTTAGTTGACTGGATTCAGCAAAAATTTCCCATACAGTTCATTCTGAAAGCTCGTCCACAGAGGAGACACCCTGACAGGGAGGTTCAGACAATCCTAGTCAAGGCAACCTGTGTTTCTGCTACTCGGTACTATCATGTACTATCAAGGCTGCGGAGCTGTGAGGCAGCCGTTCAGAGTGCGGAGAATGTTTGCTCACTGTGGGACGCGAAGAGAATCATGTGCAAAAGGTTGAACAACGGCAGTCGCACTCAACGACAACGATGCGATCTTCACTGTCGGCTGGTGCAACCAAGCGAAGTGAAAATGTGGCTTGTCGTTTGTGGTGCAGGTGTGCACATTGGATGTCGGCGAACAAAGCATGGGAACACGCACACATCCATGCATTCTCTCAACGCTGAGAAGTCCGGAGATTTGCACCTGCACCCGGGCACAAAGGTTGGCTTCAGACAGACTGCGTCGTTGGTTCAAGCACTCGAAATGGATATTTGGTTGGGGTTCTCTTCTATGCTCTTCTAAAAACTCAGTGTTAACAACAGGGCACTGGCACACGAATTTGTCCGAGGTGCGCTGTTGTAGGTCCCTGCATCCGGATGCACTCCGTCTTGCTTCATCCTTCCAGCTTTTATCACAGTTCCGTCAAGGCGCACGTTCTTAAGATTTCACGGGAGTTGTAAATATTAATGTTGATGCTGAAAACGCGGCAGGGGCCAGGATTAGCGGTGTTCTCCAACCACCCGGGCCGACCTGGCTCTGGCACTTTTGCTTTCTGCAAAACCTCCACAGGCTCACGGCCTTTGGTTTTGGTCCACTCAAGGGGCTCAAAGGTTGCAGCGCCAGCTCCTCTGCATCAGCTCCAATGGCAGCTGCCAGTATGCCCCTTCCTGCGCCACAAGAAGCGTCTGTTGGCCGAAGCGAACATGGCGGGCACAACATTACACACTCACCTGGTTGCATGACTAAGACAGGTGGACTCGGGCCGCTGGCCTCTTAGATGAGACGATTTAGTCCGAGCTTTCCTGTGGTGTGGGTGCGGTATGGTCCTCACTAGCTTTGATCACCGAGTTGAAGGAAACCACGTCTGGCATCACCGTCACCTCGGGGCGAATGGGGGCTTCAGCAAGCAAACCTGAGCAGCCTGAGCACCCACTCGCCAACCAGAGTCTCTTCTTTGCGGGTCTGTCCTGTTTGCCAGGCGGAGCAGCCGAAACTTGCGAGTTCGAGATACTTGGAAGCTCCCTCGCGTGGCACATTTCCTGTTCGGTCCCTGTAGGGCTCGGGGCCTCCCAGGCTTGCCTGTCTCCGTCTGCGTGTGTGCGTGTGTGCGTGTGTGCGTGTGTGCGTGTGCGCGTGTGTGCGTGTGTGCGTGTGCG